AGGAGGAMGAGACGGGTGGATATTAGAGATAAAGAGGGACTGAGAGAGATTATTCATTTCTCCCACTCTGGTTGAACAGAATACAGAATATTATATCATTGAGGGTAGTTCTGTGTTGACCCAGAACATTCTGGTTTACCAACTTCAAATTAAGATGCTGGGGACATGAGGTACAGAGTTATGGATGGGGTGAGATGGGAGGCTTCATGGTGAGACTGAAGGAACATCAACATCAGACACCTGGGTGCAAATCCTGGCTTTCCTAATTTTTCTTTTTTAAACGTTGTGACTGAGAAGTATTAAATACTTTGAGCCTCCATTCCCACTTTTATAAGTGAGGAATACTTATAATACCTACTCATATTTTGGTTGGAGTATGGACCCTGAGAGACAGAGGCTAGGGCAAGCCTGAGGATAACAGGCACTGGTGCTTTTGACTTGTAAGGGTCAAGTTTATAGATGGCATTTTTGAGAACAGGTCCATAGAGGAGAGGAGGGCTGAATGAACTAGCCCAAGAAGGAGGAAGCTTTGATATTAAGGGAACATGGAGAAAAAAATAGGACTGTCAAGAGAGAAGAATTTGGGGGGATAAAGAGATGCATTTTTAAAAAGAGTGTTATGTTTAAGAAGTTTGTTAAGTAACACTTCCCTCTGTTTGCTCCCTAAAATATGTGAAACACACAAACAACTCCCCCCCCTCAAAAAAAAAACTTACATTTTTTTCCCAAAAATTTGAAGATGGAATTCTAGTTTTTTGTTGGGTGGAAGGAATGTAGCCACATATTGAAATTGGGTTCACAGAAAAGACAAGAGAGACCCATGGAGGCTGAGATACACTGTGGTCACATATAAGATAAGTCATGAAAGTACCTAGCAAAAAATCATTTTGGGGGGAGAAGAAGTTCAAATAGTTTAAATGCTTTATAAAGAGTCACTTTACTAGTGACCCTGGTTTAATATTTTTTTTTTCTCTCTAAACATATCACCTCTTGATTTATGCTAAGGCTGTGAATCAGTAGGTGACATGCATGGGGAATAAACTGTGCATTTGTAAGCCTGCAAATGTTCTGAGGTGACTTTTTGTTTTAGGAAAACATACACAACAGAAGTAGGTGGCAACTTCATGGTCTTATTTGTTGTTCATGACATTATTTGCCCCGAAGTGCAGCTTACCAGGCTGCAACTGACTTGTTATTTCCCAGGCCTTCATCAGTTGGATCATTTCAGTTCTAAAGTCTGTATCTGTGAGCCTTGTCTAGGAGCTGCTGCTCGCTCTATCGTATGGCAGCTCCACTCCTCTATAATTTTGTTCCTTTTTAATACGATGTGCAATCAAGTATAATGCATGGGATATAAGCCTCAATTATTGTCAGTGTACTTAGGGACTCATACCAATTATAGTGATATTTCTCTGACAGGCTCCAGGCGAGCTGCAGCTTGGAGTTCCTCAACACAGAGAAACAAAGATATTTTCTTTATGGGAGGTTTTTTAGTAGCATTTGAAATTCTTTAGTTTAAAACTGTCCTGGCTTTTTTCATTTAGATGTAGTAATTTTGTGCTTTATAGGAAGACATGTATTTAATCTGTACTGTTATAATTTAATATACTTTAGAACATACTAATTATAGTGAACCTTGTTTCCTTACAACTCAGCTAGGTGGAAGAGATGTTTCACAGCAGACCTATCCAGCAAAAATACTAGCCTTTGTTACCTTCTTTGACTGCTACTTAGCTCTCTTCACTACAAATCTCCTCCTCTTTCCAACTCATTCTTCAATTATTAACTTTCTGTCATTTCTTGATTTCTCCTTTCATCATCTTTAAGAGTTAATTCAAAATGGTTTTATTCTTTTTGAAACTTTCTACAAATATAAGAAAAAGCACCCCTATCTGACCTAATTTCTACCAATTTCCTTTGCCTTCCAACTCCAGAGTGACAGTTTTGGCCTCTTCAATGTTCCCTCCCCACACCTGAAGACAGAACATTGCTCTTTAACTTGTGCTGTTTTATTTGAATGCAACCCACTTCCTCCCTCTGAGCAAATGAGTCATTTTTTCTTTTTAAAGCAAGCCTTTAAAAATCTTCCATTTCTCTTAGGTTTAAAATTATTCTTTTTGTGAAGTACTTTATGAAGGTTGCTTTAGGCACTCAAGGATTATACTACTGACAAAGTACAACGTACCAAGAGTTTAAAATGTCGGATTAGATGGACAACACTTATCCTTCTTCTTCTTTTTATTATTCTTTATGGAGGCAAATGTTTACAATTTTGTTTTATTTTGTTCTGCAGTACTGGGGATTGAACCCAGGAGCTCACATGTGCTAGGCAAGCAAGCTGTACCACTGAGCTACTTTCCAGATTTTTAAATTTTCTTTTTGAGGCAGGGTTTTTGCAAAATTGCACAGTTCTTGAACTTACGATCCTCCTGTCTCAACCTCCCAAGTAACCAGAATTAAAGTGTGTACCTCTAGGCCTGACTAAGGGGTTTTGTCTCTTGGTTCACTAGTGAATTATTTCCCAGAATCTCAATTACATAGATTTTCAATAAATATATGTTGAATTAAAAAATGATTGATTTTATCCTCCTCAATCTTTTTTTTGTTTTGTTTTTGTTTTTGGTGCTAAGGATTGAACAAAGGTCTCCCTAAGCATGCACTGTACCACTGAGCTAGAACCTCAGTTCCCTTCTTCATCTCTTTTAACTTTCTTAATAACATTTGTATAGTTAATAATTATCATGTTGAAATCTCTTGTAATTAAGTAGAAAATACTCATAAAAGGTATTGAAAATGAGAAATGTATTAAACTGCAGAAGATGCAACAATACTTTTTAGAAAAAGCCTAAAAAGAGACATTCATTTCAGTACAATTTATAGAATTTACATTAGCATATCAAATATCTTCTAACATATACATCTGCTACTATATAATAGGTTGCCTTGGTTTCAAAGTAATACCACTTCGTATTGCAACCATTAAAACAATAACTGATTTAGGCATGAGATACTAAAATAAATGGTGAAAGCTATTGCAGAAGAAGATATTTACAAAGCTTCAGATTCTCACCCAATAAATTACTTTTTATGAAAAGAAATTTTTGTCTTTTACACTGAAGAAATCTCAATTCCATCTCAATCACATGATCAAACATCCTAAAAATGTCACAAACTGCCATCATGTGCCTCCTGATATGATATACTGAGAAGGTAGGTGTATCACTTTTAGAGTTTTTCTGCCCAAAATGTTTAACATTTCACTTATTTATTTATGTATTTATTTATTGTGGTGCTGGGGATCAAACCAAGAGCTTGATGCATGCTACCACTAAGTTACATCCCCAGCCTTAGCATTGTAAATAACAACAAAAAAATCAACTCCAAATTGAGGATGTTGCAAAATTGCTCTTAAAAAATGTCAGTGCCATAAAAATTGAACAAAGGTTGAGAAGCTGTTCTGACTAAAGAAGACTAAAGAGATATGACAACTACATGCAATACATAATCTTCAACTGATCCTAAACTGAAGGTAAAAAAACAAAACAAACTCCTTTAAAATGATTTACATACAAACAACTACAAAGAACATTATTATAATATCTGGAGACAACTGTAATATATATTATCTTTGTTGTTGTTGTTGTTGGGGATTAAACCAAGGGGCACTTTACCACAGGGCTACATCTCCAGACCTTTTTATTTTGAGACAGGGTCTTGCTAAGTTGCAGAGGCTGCCCTTGAATCTGCAATCCTCCTGCCTCAGCCTCCCAAATTGCTGGGATTACAGACAGGCATCCTCATACCCAGCAAGACACTGTATATTAGATAACACTACTATGCCAATCTTAAATATCCTGATTATGATAATTACATTGTAGTTATGTAAGTGAATATTCTTGTTCTTAGAAGAGATAGACTGCAGTTCTAAGAGATAAAGATTAATGGTGTCTGCAAATAATTCTCAGTGATCAGAGGAAATAAAGTAACTCCTTACAATCATTCACACATCAAAATGATAATACATATGTATGTGCATGTGTATGTATGAGTGTGTTTGTGTGTATGGACAAAGAGATTTTATAGATACATACATACCAACACATACACATACACAAAGGAGAAAAAATGAGATAAAATGTTAATTGATGAACCTGGTACATTGTATACATATATATGAGCATGGGTGCGCGCGCGAGCACACACACACACACACACACACACACACACACACATATATCTTGCACCTTTCCTCCAGTTAAAAAATTTCTAAAGAAAATGTTCTTTAAAATCATTTAATATCACAAATTTAGGGTTATTTTGACTGCCTATTCAGATCCATAATGCTCAAAATTTAGGATAGTGACAACAAACTTTTCTTTATATTTTCTGCTTTTACTATCCTATTTGATTTTTCCTTATCCTTCTGTTCCCTGCCATCTTCCACACAGAGCCATTAGTAGTTCTGTTATGTGCATAAATACTTCAACAAATTCACTCATGTAAACTGAAATTGTTTCTCGAAGCAGGCCACAAATTCACTCATATAGACTGAAATTGTTTCTCGAAGCAGGAGGCTTCTCTCTAGGGCCTTTTAAAAAGATATCTCATGAATATCCTGAAGGAAGCCTGTTTTTTTAGTTTTTAGGCTAACAATTTATCAAGGTAATAGAAACCATTTGTGTATCTGGAATAAAAGCTTTTATTTCCTTAGGATTTTTTTTTCTTATTGTCTTTCATTTCGCCTTTAGTCATAGATCAAAGTGTAGCCTGCAGTACTGCTAAATAAACACTTGCTTTAGTTTATAAAGAATTAGAGAAAAACAAGATTCCAGATAACACATAATATTTGCAATTATGAAATACTATGCATTCTGCAATAAATTGACTTGTGATATATTTGTACTCACATCAAGGGTAATTATTTTGAAATTATTTTATTCTACACTCTAAACCTCTTGATATTAACCTGTAAAGTACAAAAGCAGAATATTGGGGCTTACGTCATAGTTGCTCCTGGATCAGCAGTCATTTGATTGGTCACAAAAATAGCCACATTATATTCTGCATAAAGAAATTAAATTAAGAAACTTAGAGAAGGGTAATAAGAAGATAAAAAGTTCATCATTTAGGTTTCGGAGCTTAGGAATATTATACATGAATTTATTTTATAAACAAGATCATATTCCCATTTTTCATTGATAACAGAAATTATTTTATTTAAAGTTTTTGTTATTATTATCAAAGTCAGAATCAATATTTTAATTTTAAGAGTTGTATTTCTTTCTCTTTCTTTCCTTTTTTTTTTTTTTTTTTGTGGTGCTGGGGAATTGAACCCAGGGCCTAGTGAATGCAAGGCAAGCACTCTACCAGCTGAGCTATATCCCCAGACCATGAGTTGTATTTCTTTAAAAAWWTTTTTTTTCCTTTTTTTATTTATTAAAGAGTTGTATTTCCATGATGGTAAAAAAATATTACTTCCTGACATTATTCTGAGCTTCTCTGCAAAACATATAGTAATTTGGATAGTGCCATTTTATTTTAAAGATCTACCTTCTTAGAGCTGGGGTTGTGGCTCAGCAATAGAGTGCTTGCCTAGCACATGCAAGGCCCTGAGTTCGATCCTCAGCACCACATAAAAATAAACAAATAAAATAAAGGTATTGTGTCCAACTACAACTAAAAAATAAATATTAAAAAAAAAAGATTTACCTTCTGAGATTTTTTGGAGTCGTGACAACATCTGGGCCAATTTTTGTTGTCGTTCAGCCAACTCTCCACGACCACTGAAATCCACTCGAAAAAGTGCCATTATTGAATCAATGATCTGCACAGGATTAATGTAAAATAAATATACATTCAAAAATAGGAGGAATAAGTCCATTAAAATATAGGAATTAATAGAAAACCATGGTAAATAGCTCTGAGAGTGAGCAATATTTAAAAGCTTGTACCAGTAGCTTGAAGATGCCAGCTTCTTCATGGAACTTTGCTGCTACATAATCAAGTAGCTCCATCTGATGTTCACCTAATGGAAAATGCAGTGAGAAAACGTTAGAAAAGGTAGGAGCAGCACAGGCTAAGATCATTCGTGTCCCTGGGAACCAGGCAACAAAGAGTCCTTGAAGGATTCTCTTAATTATTTATGACTTTACTAAACATGATTGCATATCCTGCCTTAGCATGCATGGCAAATGCTACCTTATCCAAAAAGAATGTTGCTCTGGGGGCTGGGGGCAGAGCTCAGTGGTAGAGCTCATACCTCACATATTTGCATGAGGTCCTGGATTCAATATCCAGCAACATACACACACACACACACACACACACACACACACACACACACACACACACCTCTGTATTTCAAAGACAAAGAATAAGAAATTATTTGAGGGCATTTTAGTACCTGAGGACTTAGCAGATGATAAAATTTGTGGGAAAACTAATTTGAAGAAAAGTTAATAAAACAAGGAAAAACAGTCCAAATTTTGTGTCACTCAATTGTAAATCAGTGCTGTCAACTTTTTAAAATTTTTAAAAAAGAATGATATGTATTTAAAAGTATTAAACTATAAAATTTATCCCTAGAAACTCTATTTTAGTGGATAATTTTAAATCACAGATTTTAAAAAATATTTACGTTTTAGTTATTTTATTTGTTAATTTTTATATAAGTTGACACAATATCTTTATTTTATTTTTATTTGTGGTGCTGAGGATCAAATCCAGTGCCTCACGCATGCTAGGCAAGCACTCTACCTCTGAGTTACAACCCCAGCCCCAATCCCAGACATTTTTGACCAGAAATAAGGATTGTATTAATGATCTGTCATTACATTACAATTTACCACAAATTTAGTAGATTAAAACAAAACACATTTATTGTCTCACAATTTCCATGGGCCAGGAATCAGGGCATGACTCAACCAGGGCCTCTGAGTCCTGCCAACTTATAATAATCCAAACATCCAATTGCAGGGGCTCTTACTGGTATATGCACGCGCATACAGCACATTGTCTAGTACTGCATCATGGTCTACATTGAAGCGATCAGCAATGTCCCGAAGGCGATCTGGACGGCTGGAGTTTGCCATGATTAAGGATCCAATAAATCAATTCCAAAAAAAAGTTACACAACAACTACAAAATATAACACCTTAAATAAGTAAAGTAACAGAGCCAAAACTGTGTACATGCAAAAGTATTCTGAAGGATCCTAGTAACCACTTAAATTCTGTACCATATTTTATTTTTCACAAGTGCCTGAATTTACCTTATATAGTGTGATAACTATCATAGAAATGGTGAGGAGGTGGGGCTTGGACTGTAGCTCAGTGGCAGAGCACTTGCCTAGCATGTGTGAGGCACTGGTTCAATCCTAAACTCCACATAAAAAATAAATTAATAAACAAAGATATCTACAACTAAAAAATATTTTTAAAAGAACCGAATACCTCTTCCAACTACTGTATTTCTTCTTTCATCCACTGGGCAATTACATGTGCCTCACTCCCTTAGTATTTATTTGCAAGAAGCTTCCGTCACCTCACCCTACTGCAACCTAACCCCTGAACTTGCGATGACCAATATCAGTGATGTTTTTCAGTTTACAGTCTGTATTTTCAAAACCTCTCTCTCCCTCTCTGTATACTATTATTGATTATTCTCTTCTTCTTGAAATTTTCCTTTGCTTGGCTTCAACAACCAGATTGCATCTTACTCCTTTACCTCTGTAAGTTCCTCATTTTAGCCACATCTCAAAGTTGTGTTCTTAGTTCTCTTCCCTCTTCCAAGTTCTCTTCCTGCTTTGGTTAATTAATCTATATTTCTGGTCCCACCCTTCCTCAAGCTGAGTTCAGTACTTCCAACTGCCATTTGTATATCCCTCCTGTACCTCACATTAAGCTCATTAAGATGAAACATCAGGGCTGGCTCAGTGGTAGAGCACTTGCCTGGTACGCATGAGGCACTGGATTTGATTCTCAGCACCACGTATAAATAAATTAATTAAATAAAGGTCAATTCACAAATAAAAATATTTTAAAAAATGGAACATCACTTTTCTCTGAAACATAATCTTCCCAATTCTATTGTTAGCCTCATTATTCTCCCAATATCTAAACAAAATCCCTGCAAGTGGTTTCTCAAAACTTTTTTATCCAAAAATGCAATCATTAAATCCTGTCATTTTCCTTCCGTTTTTGTCCTTTTCTTTTTCTTTTTTTTCTTTTTGTCACTCTTCCACTTGATCAATTTCTCATTACTTGCCTAGATTTTTGCAAAAGTATGCAATTTATGCCCTCAGTGTGGTTTCCAAGCCTTTTGTGGCTAACCTTTCCAGCCTCGCCTTGTATTCTGGACTACTTCACACTTCTATTAAGCTGAAGTTCTTTCTGTGATTCAAACAGCTTCTGCCCTTCTTCCTTTTGTGTTCTTTCTCTCCATATTTCCCCTTTGAGGCCATAGTTTGAATGAATTAATAATCCTTCTATCTTCTATGAGCAAATTTCTTTGGAGAAGAGGATTAAAATGAATAAGATATAATTCCCTCCCCCCTCTCATTGTAGTTGAACACAATACCTTTATTTTAAATATTTATTTTTAATGTGGTGCTAAGGATAGAACTCAGCACTTTGCACGTGCTATATGAATGCTCTACCACTTTTTTTTTGTCGGTTTTACACCAATCCCACGTGGAAAATGAAAATCTAACTAAAAATTGATTTGAGAAGTTGACCAGTAATTGTTTTTCCCTTTGGCTTTTCTCATTATTGATGGTTTATGGAATGATTACAAAAATTACGTATTTCAAACAAACTCTCTGTTAGTTACATTACTATATCATATTGTGTTAGCATCTTGTTTAAATAAAAGGGTTACAAAGTATTTTCTGTATCAATGAAGATAATTTTTCCTCCTGAGTAGCCACCTGCTCCTGGAAGTTGAGCCGTCACTAGGGGGCAATTTAAAAAGTCAATATTAATAGGAGTAAATAAACTTTGTACTAATGAATATATAAATACACATTGAATTTATGCTGGTTGCAATTCTTTAGTAAATTTGATAAAGAAAAAAATGATCCTTTCCAGGTGCAGTGGTGCACACCTGGAGCCTGGAATCCCAGTGGCTGGGGAGGTTCAGGCAGGAGAGTTCAAAGCCAGCCTCAGCAACAGCAAGGCACTAAGCAACTCAGTGAGACCCTGTTTCTAAATAAAATACAAAATAGGGCTGGGGATGTGGCTCAGTGGCCTAGTGCTCCTGAGTTCAAACCCTAGTACCCCTTCCCAAAAAAACCAAAAAAAAAAAAAAATGATCCTTTAGTTTCTAAAAAGTATGCGGTATTTTTCATTTTATTAATCAGTGGTGAAATAATAAGTATTCTGTGGGATAAATTAATTCAATAAAGAATTTCAACATTTTTCACTATGGAAAATACTCATACAATTTAGTTGTTCCAAAGAAATGGAAGTAGAATTCAAATTTTTTTTTTTGGAGGGGGAGGGCAATATTAGAGTTTGAACCTAAGGGCTTCCTCACAAATGCTAGGCAAGAACTCTACCATTGAGCTATATCCCTAGTCATTTTTAAATTTAACTTTGGGACAGGATCTGGCTAAATTGCTCAGACTGCTCCTGAACTTGCAATTCTCCTGTCTTAACCTCCCTAGTAGCTGGGATTATAAGCATGCACCAATGCATCTGGCTACTAATTTTCTTTTTTATAAGAAATAATGACAAATATAATTTATGCTCTATAACTCATTTAAGTTACTTTCAATTAATGTATGACAAAAATTTAAGATGAATTTGTTTTTCACACTGCAATAATTAACACTAGCGAGTTACTTTGTACCAGGTATGTGCATTATTTCATTTTAAAATAAATGAAATTTATTTATTTCTTTTTAAAGATTTGGCACTATCATTATTTCTATTTTACTGATGAGAAAAATTAAAGAGGCAAAGCAATTTGCCCAAGGTCACACAGGTATTAATGGTAAAGCCAAGACTGGAGTCAGACATTTTGATTTCCAGTTTTTGCTATGTAAGTCAAAGAAATGCAAAGTAGTGTCTTTGTGAAAAAGGAGATATTTTGCTTATTTTGTCTTAGGAAAATTGTTTTTAAGTCTCTCTTAGGGCCAACCTTACTTCACAGAAAGCAAAGGATTCTAGATGTCAACAGATTTTGTGTCATTTTATAAAATGATATAGAAAAGATGGAATGGGGAAATTGAGTCAGTGGATGCCTCTCCTTTCCAACACATTCATATACCAATTTGCCTTTTTTAAAATTTCCATTCAGGTATTCCTGGTGCAGTATCTCAAGCATTTCATATTCAAAAACCAGCTCTGGTATCTGGGCAACTGTAGGCAGTTGACTTGATCTCTCTGAGCTTCAATTTTCTTACAAATTTGTTCAGATTATACGATTATGTAAAGTATCAGGAACACAGTAAATGCTGAATAGTTGAATGCTATGATTATTACAGCGATTATGTTGTTGTCATGTGTCCTTACCACAAAGGGTATGAGAGAGCTGAGTTTTTCCAGTACGAAATTCTGTGAAATATAGAAATGGTAGTAAAAACATGCAGAGTTAGTTTTTAGATATTTTCATTAAAAAATCAAACACAGACTCAAGATATTATTGTTCTATTTCCCAACTGTCAAATCTCACTCCAAAAGTACCTCTTAGGGGCTAGAGTTGTGGMTCAGTGGTAGACTGCTCACCTAGAATGTGAGGCCCTGGGTTTGATCCTCAGCACCACATAAAAATAAATAAAATAAAATAAAGGTATTGTGTCCATCTACAACTAAAAAAAAATAGGAAAAAATACCTCTTGTATCAATTCATACATGGATTCTGTGCATATGAATACCAATAGTTACGAAAATAAGATTTTTTTTCCCACAGAACTGTCTTTTAAATAAAAATTAATTTAAATTTAATTTATTCCATTTCCATGGGAATACTTACATAATGAAAGTTTAGGAGCCAAAGGAAAGGAAAGGAAAACCTGGGGTTCTCCCACTGAACTGAAGGAACTGAAGAGATCTCAAACTGGTGGCAACCCCTAGTAACCAAATTCTCTCTATATTTCCTATCTGCCAATTTAGGTCCATTGAACTCTCATAAATTAAAATTAAACAATAAACTCACAAATATCAGTAAATGCAGAATAAGACAAGCCACTAGGCCTGGGTCTATAGAAATAACAAAAACCAGATTTGGTTCCCCAAGTCAACAAAAACAACAAAACGGATTTAGTTCCTCAAGGAGAGCAAATACTGAATTATCAAACATGGTATATAAGTGCTATGCATGAACTGTCTTTAAAAATGAGAGAATATAATCAGGGAAGAGAGAAACAAATCTCTTTGTTCATGGAACATGCATTGCCTAGATGTAAGATCAACCTCATTATTCAATTATCTTTTGAAGGAATAAGAGAAAAAAATTTACTCCCTTCTCTAGTAATCAGAGATAAAAGGATGAAAAATATCAATAAGAACCATCTGTTTTTTTTAAAAAAATTATTTTTTAGTTTTAAGTTGACACAATATCTTTATTTTATTTTTATGTGGTGCTGAGAATCGAACCCTGTGCCTCACGCATACTAGGCGAGTGCACTACCATTTGAGCCACATCCCCAGCCCCAAGAACCATCTGTTAATGGATGGATTTGCAGCCCCAAATGATCTTGTATCATAATTGAGATTTCATAATGTTACAAAATAGGAAATTATTTGTCTATTTGTTGTTTAATTATCATTATTTTTAAAATACGTTTTTATTTTATTTTATTTACTTATTTATATGTGGTACTGAGTAATCAAACCCAGTACCTCACACAACCTAGGCAAGTGTTCCACTACTGAGTGAGCCACAACCCAGCCCCTGTTGTTTGTTTAATTATATGTGTGTATACAAAGATATGCATAAATATATATTTCATATAACAAAATATTAAGGTTCCACCTACCTCCAAAAGCTTCTGTGATTGCCATGCTTTCAATTCCACCTCCTAACAACTTACTGGAAATAGAAAGAAAGCATTAGTAATAGGCATAGAAATAGGGATTTCAAGAAAGGAGAAAGAATTTGTATATTAGTTACCTGCCATCCATCCATCTATCTCACCCATCTATTTTTATAAACATGCACAGGAATTCTAGTCTGAACAAATGGCACTCTACCTGTTTAGTTCATAGGTTCAATATTGTGTATGGGCAGGTGGATCAACAAAGCAACTTATAAGCCCTGCTATTCTTACTTCTGGATACCAAAAGTAAATAAGTAAGTAAGGTCATTTGTCTTTTTTTTTTTTTTTTTTTTGCATATGGGATTGAATACAGGAGCACTTAACCACTGAGCCCCAATCCCAATTTATTTTATTTTTTAATTTTGGGACAAGGTCTTGCCAAGTTGCCCATGCTGGCTTATAATAATTTGTAATCCTTGTGCCTCAGCCTCCTGAGTGGCTGTGATTACAGGCACTCCACTATTCTTTTAAATTGAATTGCAATTAAAATGTAGGGTCTTTGTTTGTTATTGTTTTACAGTGCTGGGGTTTGAACACAGCTAGGGTCTTGTGCACTGTAGGGAAGTGTTCTGCCACTGAGCTACAACCCCAGCCCAATGATCTTAGTTATTAATTGGGTTTTTCAAATTGTGCAGGGATGATGTTTCTAAAAGACAACTGAATATTCAATTTTTTAATACAATGAGAAACACAAAAAGAAATCTCCGGGCATGGTGGCCCATGCCTGCAATCCCAGCAGCTCAGGAGGCTGAGACAGGAGGACCATGAGTTTAAAACCAGCCTCAGTAATGGTGAGGTGCTAAGCAACTCAGTGAGACCCTGTCTCTAAATAAAATATAAAAAAATAGGTCTAGGGATGTGGCTCAGCTGTTGAGTACCCCTGAGTTCAAACCCTGGTACCAAAAAAAAAAAAAAAAAAGAAACACAGAAAGCAGATATTAGGAGAATCCAGAGGTTATCATCATATTTGGCTTATTTCACATAAACCAAATTTTAAGGACAACATGTCAGAATAGAAAATGCTTAAAGATGTTATAGGTAATATTAGCAGTCAGAAGAATAATTGCCAGGTTTTGATAGCATATATTTATTTGGTAACCCAATGTTTCAGGCATTTAATGTTCTTGATATGAAAAGAACTAAATTTAAGTTATGATTTCATTCATTCATCAAATACAACAAACATTGTGTTAACTGTGTTAATACCTGGTAGGAACACTTAAAAAACCTTTGTAGTTTATATTAGCAAGTCTTTGGAGATATGATCACTGATCAGACAAAGCCTTAGGAGTTATGGATGCAGTTTGGGAATTTGGGAATAATAGAGAATTTACTAGTTTAAGAGAGCAATTTAAATGTAAATTGAAGCAATGTTGGAAGTTACAAACAAACTTAGTGAGGGATACAGACTTCAATGAAGAACACAAAAATCTAGATACTGACCTGTGTAGCTTGAATCTAAAGGACATGTAAGCTGAGCAATCACCCCATTTGGAGGCTTTGCCCTTGCAGATGTAACAGGTCAGGCAACTACTAAAAGAGAGCTTTACTTGCCTCTCCTCATCTTGTAAAAAAATCACCCTGAAAGGCTATAGCTCTGAAAAATACCAGACACAATTTCTGGTTGATATGTAACACAATCAGGCTGCAAAGGTAACCCCAAAATTTGTCTAGGAGTGTACCCCAGATTATTTGGGGTAATATAATTATTTCATTTGTGAAACTCAGAAAAATACAGAATTAGATGTAGAAATAATGTTTTATATTTAAGAAGATTTTAAAATAGAGATAAAACTTAAAACCCACAACTTACTATTTTCACAGTAATTTTCATGATGATTTTATATTTGTTCTTTGAGAACTTTTAAAATGTAAGGAAATTTGGTCTTTTTATAATAGCAGAACAGTCTCTGGATAATTAAATGACATAGAGCTATGATTTTTTTAAGTTGATAACTAAGTTCATAAACAGTACCTGAACATTTATGAGTGCCGAAGTCCCACCATATTTATAAGTTCACTGGTTTTCAAAAGATATTTAGGTAATTGGGAAGATCTTGCTTGTTAATAATTAGACAAAGTTCTTAAAGGAAATTATGAGAGCTACCAGTACCAAAATGAAGTCACTTATGTCAAACTAACAAAACAGAACCTGACAAGTCCACAGAATAGAAGTTCTCACACATACATGATTCAAACAAGACCTATTAAAAAACATTCCTCAGTAGACCAGTAATAGAACTTATTGGGAGAACTTCAAGACTGCAGTGTTCTAGATGGAGTGCTTGTACAAGGATACATGCCTAGCAATGGCTGTCTCAGCCAATAAGCTAACACCAACTACAGTAACAGTCTCCTGTGACTTTTGATCTTTGTAAATTTTGGTTTCTTTTTCTTTCACCCACCCTCTTGGATACACCTGTGGCCTGCCATAGCTTGTGTACTCCAAATTGCAATTCTCTACTATTCCCAAATAAATTCATTTTTTTTTGGAGCACCTGTCTCTCCATTTATTTTTAGACTGATGAAATACAATATACTAAATGTACAACTTCAAATGCTTGAGGAAATTTAGTTAACCATATCATAAAAACCCTCTTTAAATTTACTAGATTTATAAAAGAACTTAAAAGTTTAAGAAAAATTTTAATGAATCAAATATTAATTTTAAAAAACTTAGCTCCCGAGTGATCTTTTCTGTGCACAAAAGCAAACATCAATGAAGACTCAATATTAATTTATATAGCCCAAAGGTTCATAAGCCACCAGGCAGAGTAACTGGGGGATGTCAGATTGTCACTGGAATCAAATGTTTTATTGATCAACTTGATTTTCAACAATTTGCCTTGGGGCAGGATTTCCCAAAGACTCTTCCATGGGGGTTGGAGAGGAGGTTCTGTGGGGCAGTGCTGGGTTAAAAGGGTGTTTTGTCTTACTGAAGGATTTCACAGATCCTTTATTAAGCCAGAAGGCATGGTGAATCTTCAAGAAGAATATATAGTAGATTGGACTTCGTAAACTTATTTTATTCATTATGTGTTTATTTAGTCATTCAACAAATATTTATTGAGAACCACTTTACCTTTGGCGAATAAAGCAAAGAACAAAAAATACTGAAATCCTTTGCCTCATGGATCTTACATTCTAGAGGGAGGTCAGAAAATAAAAGTAAAGGGCTGGGGAGATAGCTCAGTGATAGAGCACCTGGCTTAGCATATATGAGGCACCTCAAAAATTTAATTAATTAAGAAACATAAATAGCATGTCAGACATTATTAAATGGTATGAATAAAAATAAGATGGAGAAATGGGATAAATATTACAGAGTTTAAAGGAGGGGAGCTTACATTTTCAAATAAAGTGATCAGAGAAGGCTTTCTTGAGATGTGACATTTTAGTAAAGACCTGAAAGAGATGACAAGCCACGGAGATATACAAGGACAGAGTATTCCAGGCAGAGGGAACACTGAATGCAAAGGCCCTGATGCAGGTATGTATCTGATACATTCTAGGCAATGCAAACAGGCCAGTGTTTCAGGTACACAGTAAACCAGAAGAATAAAAGATGAGATTTGATTAGGGATTGGGGAAGACTTTGGCTTTTTCTCTAGCTAAAATGGGAAGTCATTGGAGTGTTTTGAGTAGAGTGTCACATTCTGATCTACATTTTAAAAGGATGGAGCAGGTGGTGCATGCCTGTAATCCAAGTGGTCTGGGAAACTGAGGCAGGAGGATTGYACTTCAAAGCCATTCTTGACAATTTAGCATGGCCCTAAGCAATTTAGTGAGATCCTATCTCAAAAAAAAAAGATAAAAAAAAGTGCTGGGGATGTTGCCTAGTGGTTAAGCACCCCTAGTTTCAATCCCTGGTACCAAAAAATACATACATAAGTAAAAATATTATTCTGGTTCTTGTATCAAGCATAAACAGTAGGGGCAAGGTCTGAAAGAAACAGGTTAGTTAGAAGGCAGGATTTGTTAATGGATTATAGGTAGTGTGKGGGGTGGGGGAGAAGATACCAAGAATGACACCAAGATTTTAGGTCTGAAGATCACTAAAAAGATCTCAGATGAGGGACCTGCAGGAGGAGCAGATATAGGGCAAAGAGCAAAAGTTTGGTTTTGGATCTGTGAAGCCTGAGTTGCTCACTAAACATTCAAAATGGAGGTATATTTGACTATGAAATCCTTTTTTCTTGCCCTTTCTTATAAACCCAGAGTTTTCAGGAATACTTTAATACTGCTTTTGTTGTAATTGCTCCTGAACACTACTCTAACTTAAAGATTAATTCTGCCTAGTAAGGTAGGCAAAGAGCCCATTCTAATCAATTTGCATGGGTTTGGGAAGATAATATGTCTTAGAAATCATAAAATAGTAAACAAAAAGTAATAAAATTATAGGAATAAGATTAAAATTGTCCCTGCTGAAATGCAAAACCAATCCTGTATTATTCTAAAATATTCAATCGAACAAGTGATTTTTTTTTCTTTTTTGGTTACTAGGGATTAAAGCCAGGGTTGCTTTGACACTGAGCTACATCCACAGTCACTGTTGTTGTTGTTGTTATTATTATTATATTTTGAGACAGGGTCTCATTGATTTGTTAATGGTCTCACTAAGTTGCTGAGGCTGGCCTTGAGCTTGTTATCCTCCTGTCTCAGAGTGTGGAATTACATGCATGTACCACCACATCTGGCTCCTAACAACTGATCTTTTTTTTTGAAGGTGGGGTTACAAGGAAAGAAATCCAGGGGCACTCAACAACTGAGAACATCCCCATTCCTTTTTTTTTTAAAAAAAATATTTATTTTTTAGATGTAGATGGACACAACACAATGCCTTTATTTTTTGTAATGTGGTGTTAAGGATTGAACCTGGGCCCTGCCCATGCTAGGTGAGCGCTCTACCACTGAGCCACAATTCCAGCCCATCCCCATTCCTTTTTATTTTTTATTTTGATACAGGATCTCGCTAAATTTCTCAGAGCCTTGCTAAATTGACAAGGCTGGCTTTGAACTTGTGACTCTTCTGTCACAGCCTCCTGARCTGCTAGGATTATGGGCATGCACCACTGCGCCTGGCTAACAACTGATTTTTTTTTTTTTTTAAAGAGAGAGTGAGAGAGGAGAGAGAGAGAGAGAGAGAGAGAATTTTTAATATTTATTTTTTAGTCCTCGGCGGACACAACATCTTTGTTGGTATGTGGTGCTGAGGATCGAACCCGGGCYGCACGCATGCCAGGCGAGCGCGCTACCGCTTGAGCCACATCCCCAGCCCTAACAACTGATTTTTAAGTAAGCTCAAAAGGTGAAATGAAACTTTCTTCATCAGTGGAGAAGGAAAGGAAATGAAAAGTTAAACTGATTTTTAAAAATGGTTTATAGATTAATATAGACTGATTCAGAAATCACTTATATTTTGGGTCTGAATTTCTTGGAATAAATTTAATCCTATTCCTATAAGCAGTCTGCAATTTCTTTGGTTTGTATTTTTTGGGAAAAAAACCCAACAAGCTACTCCAAAAAAAGAAGCTATTTCTACTGATTATAGTAGAAATAACAACCAGATGAAAGAAAAGAAACATGGTATTCCAAAGATGGAATTAGTGGTTATAAAAAATGTTGAGATACACACTCAAATTCTTGGCTCCCAGTGGTGATATGGAAAACCATCTTCCTCTTCTCACTATATTCAAATGCAGTCAAGAATCCTGGTTCCTACAGAAAGATAAAAAGACAGATTCAAAAAGGGTATAAGATAACGGTTTCAATTTCAAATGCTGGGGGTGCTGTTGCTCAGTGGCAGAGTGCTTTGCCTAGCATGTGTGAGGCACTGGGTTCAATCCTTAATACCACATAATAAATAAATAAACAAATAAAATAAAGGCATTCTATACAACTACAACAACTTTTTTTTTAATTTTTCAAGTGCTGCTCAAAACTATATGCTCAATTATCAAGGTCATCATTTGGTATGAGCTACAATTCTGACATCTTTGAAGGTAGACCAGATCACGGTTAAAAACACTAACTTTGAACCACCCTTCCTAGGTTCAAATTGTATCTCTGGTCCTTACTAGTTATATGATATGGGATAAATTACTTAATATTGCTGTAAATCAGTTTTCACTTTTGGGTCAAGTGGCGATAATAATAGTGTCTCATATGATAGCTATGAACATTAAATAAAATATATTCATGGCACAAAGCAGAATGATATTTTACTGAATGGTTCAGATGATTTCATTCTACATTATCATTTTTTTCCAGCTCTAGAAGTTTCAAGGAGAACAGAAATACCTGTTTCCATGAATATATGACAACATTTTTCACATGGTAGATTTATATTTGCTGATTAATGAGCTACAACTTTACAGTGGTGGAGMTGCACAGTGCAGTGGTGAAAGTGGATCCCTGTGTTGTTGAATATGTTTCCCTTTGTTATTCCATATGGTGATAATGGTTCTCAAACTTTGAAAAACTTAGGAGATGGAGGAACAAGCCCAGACCTGGCTTTCATTATGAAAGGATAAGACTTTGGGTGCAGAAAAAGAGGAGTTCTTTTCTTTGAYGATGAAATTTAAGTACCAAAGAAGACTAATATCTAAGAGCTATTAAGTAATAGTTTCCCAAACTGTTTCCTGGATACCGCTTTAGGGCTTCCTTAGACATGCTRGCAATTATGGAATTGAACTGTGGATATACTGCCAGAGTGGACCTGAAGCTACAGCAACTGGGAGGGTTCAGAGTTCAGCTGGGTCTTCTCCAAGTTAAGGACCACAATGCCACTTGCATCTCTCTTCAGTCCTGACTATCTCCGAAGAAGGAAACCAAATGACTGTTGGTAAAGAGAACTTCTGGACTTGAATGGATTGAGACCCACACATACAAATGGAGAGGCTTGATCTTCTGCAGAAAGGGACACTTGGTGACTACTTTTGGTACATTCCTAGTTCCAGAGCTGGTACCCCTAGTGGTCATTAAGAGCTCTACACAAAAGCTTGGGTCAAAGGCATATATGCTTTTGCCTGACAGCTCATAGGCCACTCACAGTCCATGGGCCCAGTTGGAGAGTATGGGTACTTGAGCATCATCAGTGGCATCATCATGGTCATTTCTATCAGTCACACACATGTAGAACTAATCACTGCTAGCCTTTTGCTCACCAATGTGCTCTTATCAACTGGCCTATTATACCAGAAGAGGATCACTGCTTTGATACTCAGTGCTTTGCAACAGCCTTAGGTATGTTTCAGAAGACAAGATAAAAGTAAGAAGGAGGTTGTAAAAAAAAAAAAWAAATGAGAGAAAGAAAGGCAGAGAAACAGAAGGTCAGAAGTAGCATAAAGGGAGACAAAAAGGAAAGTTTTGGTAAAAATAATTACCTTAATTAGTGTTCCAGGTCTCTTAATTCTCTACCACAATCTTTCAGAAATTGATTGATATTGCTTTGGAACCAAAATGATTAAAACATTAACTTGGGGATAATCAAATATTGTGATCTACAGAAATTCAGAATTCTCACATAATGAGAAAGGCTACAAAGACTCATGAAGCCCTTCTAAACTAAAACAGCAAGAGTGGATTTTGCTTACAATGAGTTTGTTGGCAGCCTCTTTAATCTTGTCCACTTTGGCTTCTGAAAGCCCTTTGACATTGCATAGGGCTCTTCTTGTTGTCATCTGTATCCCTTTAATGGTACAGATTCCTACTGACTTCAGTTTCTTAATGTCAGCCACGTTCTGTAAATGGAAGAATGGGCACAACAGATTTATAAAATGCCAGCCTAAAAGGTTCCCGTACTATGTATGTCATGTGCTTTTCTGTCCATCTCCTTCCATCATGATGCCATTTTTATACAAGCAACCAGGTGGAATACTGCTTTGATACTGAGTGCTTTGCAAGAGCCTTAGGTATATTTCAGAAGACAAGACAAAAGTAAGAAGGAGGATGGTAAAAAAATATCTCCAAATGTTCTGGAAATATCTGAGTAGAACATACCCACCAGGCTGCCAAATGTTCTGGCTGTGCCCTGATTTCCCAAGAATGTTAGTGAGACCATGGCAATGTAACAGGGAACTCAAAAGAAAAGTCTGTTGGTRGAAAAACTAACAAATTTATCACACATTCACCCCCTCAGTTCAGTTCCTTCCTTCTACAGAACTTCATTATTAAAATGTTCTAAATTTTTTAAAGATTTTTTTTTCCTTCTGCCCCAGGAGAATGCAAATAAAAAGATCGCCAAAAGACAGGATTTTTTTTTCTTGCTTCTATTTTCTAAAATATAAAGATTTAGAGGGCTGGGGTTGTGGCTCAGCAGTAGAGCGCTTGCCTAGCACATGCGAGGCCCTGGGTTCGATCCTCAGCACCACATGTAAATAAATAAAATAAAGGTATTGTGTCCAACTACAACTAAAAAAATAAATATTAAAAAAAAAGACTTTAGATAGGAGGCTCTCAAAAGATAACATCAGCAGAGTTTTACTATCAATAATTACTGCTGAAATCCATCTAGTTTTAAGCCAGCCACCTGACAAACAGAATTAAATTTTGTGTTAATGGATAGAATAAATCTAGATATATAAGAAGATTTATAATGATTTTAGAGCAAGTTCTTAATACCTCCAATTGGATTAGTGGTTCTGAATGAGGGACAATTCTGATTCCTGGGTACATATGATAGTGTCTGGTGTCACAGCTGCAGGAGTGCTATTGGCATGAAATGAGTAAGTAGAGGCCATTTTTATGGAGTCATCTGGACATTACATGACCACAGCCATATGCAACATAAATGCTCCAGAATAATATCAGTTGTTTTTTTTTCTGCATAATTTCCCAGCTTACCATAAATAGAATAAACCATTAGGGTGATATGTAGAGCTTTACAACTGGACCCTGGAATGTGTCTGACTTTTTGATATTAAAGCTAAGCCAGAAACATTACAGTTTGCATGAAGTCACTTTCATTCTAACCAAGTAAATACCCTCCTTCTAACCTAAATTACAAATATCTACTTGGTCTTCCCAATGCCTGGGCTGTGCTTTTGTCAGTAATGCCCCCAGTATATTGCACTTAGCAATCCTGGATCTGCCCACCTCTTTGCTAGGATCTCATGGCACCTTGGGTGTCACACTGGGACCAGGTTGTTCTGGAATACCAAGCTTGTTGCTCAACACCCTACAAAGCACAGGACAGCCCCTTGCCCCCAAATACACAAAGAATCATCCAAATGTTTATAAGGCTGATTCTGAGAAACTCTGAATTGGACAATTCAACATGGCATTGAAAAACTACTTACAATTCCATGTTTCTGTAATAGGTCAATGTCTTGAAACAAAGATTCCTAAAGGAAATGGAACAGAAAAGAAAAAAATGGAGTTTTGATTCTTTGTATCCAAATGTTACATATTTTTTAAAGAGCTAATTGAATATTAGACCTATCCCCAAATGTCTCAAATTCCACTTTTTTAGGTAGATTGTGGTGGTATTGATAACGTTTTTTCAAACACATCATTACATATTTAGAAGAGGCACCAACTTTGAAAGGTCTGCAAAGCCAATAACCTTTGCCACGGCTTCCCTAAAATTTTAAAACCTTTACCAAAAGCAGTGGAACATTTGACCCATTTTAAATGTTTTTGCAACATTCTTCCCCTCCAAATTTTGTTCTCCTTCTAGGACCAGACAGCTATTCAGTACCAATGTGCTTAGGCACCAGCATGGCCACACCAGTTAAGTTACTGAAATACTTTTGTACAGCAGGCTGGATGTCTATCTCAGTGGTAGAGCCCTTGCTTAGCATGCATGAGGACTTGGGGTCTAGCCGAGAACTGCAAAAACAAAACAAACAAAAACCCTTTCAAGCCAGTTGCTAAGTAGTTAATRTTAACATCCCGTGCCAATCAAACTGTTCATATTTGTAATGCATAACTATGTCTTATTTCTACTGTTTCCAAATATAGTAGCTAAGAGACAAGGAACTTTGTTGTGTGTGTGTGTGTGAAATGACTGAATATCTGTGTATCTTTCAACATATTTTTTTTTTTAAAGAGAGAGTGAGAGAGGAGAGAGACTGAGAGAGAGAGAGAGAATTTTTAATATATTTTTTTTTAGTTCTCGGCAGACACAACATCTTTGTTGGTATGTGGTGCTGAGGATCGAACCCCGGCCACACGCATGCCAGGCGAGCACGMTACCGCTTGAGCCACATCCCCAGCCCCTCTTTCAACATATTTGTTACACCTCTTCATCTTGGAATCCTGGTTCTTCCTGTACAACTTGATCCTCTTTCATGTTGAGTCAATTCTGGGAAGATAAGAAATATTTTTAAAGAAGTAATTATAGTTCATAAAGTTAAAAAAAATCCTCTGCTTAGAAGACTCTTTGATTTCATTTCAAAGTCACCAAAGACCAGGACAATAAAAGAAATGCTTTGGAAAAACTAGGCTGATCTATCTTTTCTACTGGGCTTATGGCATTATTTTGTATGGTGGGGGGAGCATTGTGGAAGCTTAGTTTCTTCTTTCCTTAGCACTGTTCACTTTTTTATTGTCTTCCGATTTTCTATTGCAGTTAATGACTGAGGATATCTTTATTGTTTACTTGGAATGTGATTTAGAATTGCTTATTATTTTATTATTATTTGGYACCAAGGATTAAACCAAGACTGATTCTGGGAAACTCTGAGCCACTTCTGTAACCCTTTAAGTTGCTTAGGGCCTTGCTAAGTTGCTGAGGCTGGCTTTGAACTCACCATCCTCCTTCCTTAGCCTCCTAGGTCGCTGCAATTACAGGCAAGTGCCACCACGCCCGCCAAAATTATTACTTTTAACTTTTTAGGCTTATGTTTAACAACACCCTAAGAACCTCAATATTGTGTCTTTCTTCTTTGTATTCCTCACCACCTCAAACTTAAGACTACTCTCGATAAACAGGTTTTGTTTTTCTCATATATAATGAATGCCTTCCTGTTTAATGGTAGTGAACAGGAGCTCTGGTGACTGTTTCATAAATCATTTGCTATATTTTGCTTTGCAGTATTGACTAGTCTCATGATTTTGTAAAAATGGATACCCCATATAAGGTTAGGGCTGCAGGTGTAGTGGGCACACCTGTGAGCTAGGAGGATGGCAAGTTCTAGGCCAGCCTGGGCAACWTAGACCCAGTGTCAAAAATTACAAAGGGCTGGAAAGGCACCTCAGTGATAGAGCACCCCGGGGTTCAATCCCAGCGCTGGGCGGGGGTGGGGGGACTGGTAGGCAGTAAATAGCCTCCAGTTTAACACTGCAGATTTTTTTTTTTTTTAATTATCAGGTTCTCTACAATAAAACCTGCCCCGAGTATCATTTTTCCAGGTCTCTTCCATTTCCTCGATGAACGGCAAAGTCGGGGGCTGGAGGCAGCTCAAAGCGGACCCGCGGCCACGGGGCGAACGAGGGAAAATGCGAGCGGGACCTTTGGCTGGCTGTCGCGACTCCCAGGACGCCACGGACCGTCTCCACCGAGGGACACCCACACACCCCCGTTCCTCCCAGCTCACGGACAAAGGGCCCAGGACCCAGGTCCCCGCTGGCTTCCTGGCCGCCTCCCGCCCCGGGCCCGCCGGGAGGCCCGTGCAACTCGGCCCGACTCGACTCGAAACGCAACTGGAAGCCCCTCAAGACCCCCAGGTTCCCTCCCGGGCGTGGGGCGGGACCCCGTCGTCGGCCCAGGACCCGGCAACGACCGCCAGGGAAGGCCCACAAAGAGGCGCGCTTTCCGCACACCTTGCGTTTCCCCTCAGATTCTCCACACGCTTTCCCCTTCTGTCACTCGACGCCCCCCAAACCCACAGTCTCCACGAGGTTTTGACGGTGAGCCCCCCAGCTTAGGTTTCCCGCCTTCAGCTCAGAATTTTAACTCCGACCCAGAACGCCAGGCTGACGACCCGCGCGTAGCTGACCGAAAGGTTTAGCGCCAACTTGGGGGGGGGCGGCGGCGCGAGCTCGGCGTGGGCGGGGCGAGGAGCGCGGGGCGGGGCGCAGAGGGCGTGGCCCACAGTGGGCGGGTCAGAGGGCTGAGTAGGGGGCGTGGAAAGGACCACTGGGCGGGGAAAGGGGCGGGCGGAGGGCGGGGGCAGAGCCAGGGCAAGGGGCGGGGAGCCGGGGCTAGCGCTAGAGTAGCCTGCTGGGGTTGTCGCGCTGGGATGAGGCTGGGGCGACGTGAAGAAAGAGTGCTGAGGAGGGGTCTTGGTGGGAGGAGAGCGCTGGGCGCCCCTTGAGTTGAAGCAGGCTCTGGGATGGCGGCCCTTGGGATCGGGGCCGGGGTTGCTGAGCCAGGTGGCTGAGCCAGGTGGCTGATGTGAGCGAGAGGTGACCCATCGATGTCTACCATAATGGGGACCTTGGGCTGGGAGGTCGCATGTGGTGGTCCGTTCCCCACGGGCCACGGCTTTCTTCACTCCAAGCGTCCCATACCTGGCTTCGTACCTCAATTCTCTAACTCTCAGCACTTGCCACTCTTCTCTGTGATTGACACGCCAAAGGCCCATTCAAGATGGAGCGTGCTTTTTCTTTGTCCTGGCTTGAAGTTTTAAATAGACCAGAGAAGACAAACATATTTTGATTCTGCCTTTAAATAGAAAATTTAGGCCTGCCTTCGTGCCAGCACAGCCAGCTCCTGCGGCCTCTTTCTTCTCCCCTTATGGGGACTAACTGGAGGAGCGTCATGAAACATTTGAAAAAGCATCTGCTGAGGTAGAGGTTGCATAGAATCTTGGACAAGTATCTGTGCAAACAGTTCTTTGGGTTCAAGACCTGGTAGAGGGCGGCCCTTTTTCTTCTGAATCATTTTGATGAAATAAATAGCAAGCAATTCCCACAATTGCAGCTGGCATTTTGAACTCCCTCCCAGGTGGATTGTTTAAATAACTGCCGTTGCTTTTCAAAATCTGTTATTTTCCAGAAATACAACCTGTCCCTGTTATATGGAAATTAATGCCCATTTTGGAAGGAACTGGTTATGATAGGCTTTCACTCTGGAGTCCTCACCTAAAATAATTATAGTAAGTTTTGAGCAACTTGTGAGATGAAGACATCAACAGACTACGGAAGAGCTGTAAAGAGCACAGCAAGATGATTTAGGGAAATCTAACATATGTAGTTTGGTGTAGTGACAGCTGGGAGAGAGAAATGTTCATAATATTTGAAGGTTGTGTGTAGTACACTTAAAGAAAGAAACTGAAATGAGCTTGGTAATGACAAATTCATGAAGTGAGGATAGAATCTTGTTGGGGTATCATATTGATGGCTATATACAACTTTTAAAGTATTTTAAAACAATGACAAGCCCTGGAGGAGTTAAAAAGTGCATGGGAAGTCCTTTGCAGTCAAATCAGGGCCAAAAATACGTGAGTCTTTCATATCATACAAAAATTCTGAAAATGATGTAGGTGGCCTTTCAAATTAGTGGGGAAATGATGAATTCAGTGAATGGTGTTGGAATGACTAGGTAGCCATCTGGAAGGAAAATAAAATTGGAACCATATTTCACACCTTATATCAAAATAAATTCCAGATGGATCAAAAAATCTAATCTGAACAATATATTAATAAATGTACTAGAAGAAAACATGGGGAAGTTTATTATTTCATAGCACACAAAAAATCTCTTTAACCCAAAACTCTTTAAACCCATAAAGACATTGATAAATAACCATATATTTATCAAATATATACATATAGATACTATATATATATATATATATATATATATATATATACACACACACACACATATATACATATATATTTAAATCCTTCATGGCAAAATGCAACTTTCCTACCCAAGATATGGAGCTTGGCAAGTGAGAGCTTTCATGTTAAGTAGTAACTAGATAATATAGTTCACCTAATTTTTAAAAATCCTTCAGGGAACCCCAATTTCTCCAATTCTGTGTCATTTTTGTATTCTAAAAATAAAACAGGCCAGGTACGGTGGCACATGCCTGTAATCCCAGCAGCATGGAAAGCTGAGGCATGAGGATCACAAATTCAAACTAGCCTCAGCAAAAATGAGGCGCTAAGCAACTCAGTGAGACCCTGTCTCTAAATAAAATATAAAATAGGGCTGGGGATGTGGTGGAATGCCCCTGAGTTCAATCCCCAGTAACCAACACCCCACACACACAAAAAAAAAAAAAAAAAAAAAAAAAAGAAAAGAAAGAAAAGAAAAGAAAAGAAAGGAGGCAGTGGGGATAACCATCAGTGCCTGAATTTTAAACCATTACACTTTACTGCCCCTCTGTGGACAATCACCTTATAACCAATAAAGGCACATGATTCCAGTGGGTACAGTTAGTCTTCCTCAAACTGTTGCCTGTGGATTTACATTCTTGGAGTTTCAAGAGGTGAAATTTCAAAAATGCTTTGATAGAGAGCTAAAGGAGGAGCAGGACATGGTCCCACCTACCTGTAATCCCAGAAGGTTGGGAAGCTGAGGCAGGAAGATCATGAATTCAAAGCCAGTCTCAGCAACTCAGCAAGATTCTGTTTCTAAATAAATATATATTTTTGAAAATATGTGGGGATGTGGCTCAGCGCCTCTGTATACAAATAATCTATAATTTCTGTATAGAAATAATCTATACAGATTATTTCTTTTGTACCAATCCCTGGTACAAAAGAAAGAAAGAGAGAAGGGGGGGGGAGGAAGCAGAGATGGTTATACACAAAGTATCACTTGGTAGATCTTTTCTTAAACATGTTTAATTCATTCAGAAGATATATATTGATATGTATTTGTCAGGCATTGTGCTAGGCATTGGGTGCTGGGTTTAAATAACAAGATGCCAGCCCTAGAAAGGACCACAGACAAGTACAGAGGCAATCACAGAAAGTGCTACTGTCATGGCTTACCCTCAGAGTGGACCTCTCTTCTGTCCATTGATCATTAATTTTCCATGAATGTTTCCTTTTATATTAAAGAGGTAAAATTTTCCAGCCCCATCTCTCTCCAGAGGGGCAGAAATACTAGCTGCCCCTATTGAACTCCACTTCTTACATTTGGGGATTTTTCATTCCACACATGCACGGAAGAACAGCTGTCTCATTACATCAAATTTTACTGAAAGCATTGCAGTAAATTAAAATATAGGTAAGTTCAAGGCAGTTTTTAAAAGTTAACATTCRATTTTCTGAAAGTAAAAACTTTAGTTCTTCTTAAGCCTTCAATAATATTTAATTGATAAATCTAATACATTTTAATAATTATTTCTAAGGGGAACTTTGATTAACATTTAATCAACTCAAATTTAACAGAC